CGGAAGAGGAAGGACCTGGCCACCATCCACCGCAGCATGGCCAACCCTGGTGAGACCCACAGCACACACACACATGCATACACACGCATGCACATACACACACACGGAAGAGGAAGGACCTGGCTGCCATTCACTGGAGCATGGCCAACCCCGGTGAGGCCCACAGCACACATATGTACATACATACATACACACATGTATGCACATACACACAAAAGAGGAGGACCTAGCCACCATCCACTGGAGGATGGCCAACACCAGTGAGGCCTGAAAGTCCACAGCACACACACATACATACACACACACACACACACACACACACACAGAAGAGGAAGGGCCATCCACCAGAGCATGGCCAACCCCAGTGAGGCCTGACAGCCCGCAGCACACATACACACACACACACACACACACACACACACACACACACACACACACACATATAAATACACACCCACGCAAGAGGAAGGGCCTGGCCACCATCCACCAGGGCATAGCCAACCCTGGTGAGGCCCAGACAGCCCACAGCATGTGCACACACACAAGTGGAAGAGGAAGGACCTGGCCCCCATCCACTGGAGCATGGCCAACCCCAGTGAGGCCCAAACAGCCTGCAGCATGCACACACACACCCCCACACACAAGCGGAAGAGGAAAGACCTGACCACTATCCACCAGTGCATGGCCAACTCTGGTGAGGCCCAGACAGCCCCCAGCATGTGGACGCACACACATGCACACACATACCTGCACGCGCACACACACCATGCGCCCCTCCTCCAAGCCCAGCCCCAGCTCTGCCTGTGCCCTGTCCAGTCAGCAACACATCTCAGCTACCATGACGGGGAGACAGGCACCTGGCCAACTTCCCTCCCTCCTATGGAATAGGCCTCCCCCTCCCTGACCCTCTCCAGTGGAGGAGTAATTGAGGGGCCCGGTCAGAAACAGGAAAAGCTATTGGATCTCACTCGTCATCCATAGTTTCTTGCCCAGAAATGCCAAACTACACAACCATGGGATAAACGTTGCTTTTCTACCACACTGACTTAGATGTTTAAAATAGTAACATAACACTCAGTGTGGGCTAGGATGTGGAAAAATAGACAGCTTCGTAGACAACGGATAGGATTGAAGCTGTGAAACTTTTTGAGGGAAAGGTAATATATCACACACCTGCAAATGGTGCCCAGGGATTGGTCCAGTTATTCTACGTATGACAGTGTGTACTGGGAAGAGCAAAGATTTGAGCAAAAGCTTGTGAGCAGTTCTCCATCACAAACTTCTAAGAGTGAAACATAGAAGGCAGTCCAAACATCTCACAGAAGGAAGTTGGTTGAATAAATAGAATGGCATATCATGCAAGTATTAGAGATGAGAAATATTTTAAAATATTTTTGGATTATAAAGAAATGTTAGGCCAGGCTCAATGGCTCCCATCTGTAACCCAACACTTTGGGAGGCCGAGGTGGGTGGATCACTTGAGGTCAGGAGTTCAAGACCAGCCTGGCCAAGATGGTGAAACGCTATCTCTACTAAAATACAAAAATTAGCTGGGCATGGTGGCGGGCACCTATAATCCTAGCTACTCAGGGGGCTGAGACAGGGGAATCGCTTGAATCTGGGAGGCAGAGGTTGCAGTGAGCCAAGATCGTGCCGTTGCACTCCAGCCTGGGCCACAGAGTGAGACTCTGTCTCAAAAAAAAAAAGTTCTTAGTAAGTTAAAAGGGGCAGGTTATAAATCAACATCCACAGCAAGATCATATTTTAAAATGCATATATATCCATATTCATCCCCCCCCACACACAAAATGTACGTTATCTATTAGAGAGAGAATGAATGTGCTGGTATGTTTGGGAAGAAATACACCAAAATCTTTACTGTGCATGGAGGGACCGTTGATAACTTTTATATTTTTCACATCTTTTTGTATTTTCCAAAACTTCTATCCTGTTTCTAATTAGAAAAAAGATTGCATCTGCTTTTAAAAAGAAATTAACGGATTTGAGGAGGGTGCCGTCCAAGGGACATATGCATGGGGACTGTGACGTGGGAGGCTAATTCTGCCCCAGCCTCAGAAGTATGGCCGGAGTGTGCTGGGGATGACTGCTGGGTGGGAGCGGGGCTGTGAGTGGCTGGGGATGAGCAACTGGAGGCTGGAAGAAGGGCTGTAGCAGGAGCCAGTGGGCCCTCAGTTGAGGGGTATCACATGGCACCCACCCCACCAAGGGCTCTGGGGTCTGGCTTGAGACCCAGGGCCAGTACTGACACATATTCAGAGTGAAGTCTTGGGCAGGTTATTTTGCCTTCTAGATTCTAAGGATTCTCATTTCTAAGGTGGGTACAACCCAAATAGCTCTGGGGACCCTACCAGTCTACTGTCAGCCGTGTTGCACTCAACCAGACACAGCCCAACAACCGAAAATAATTTGAGAATAATTTGTCTTTGCTTGTTTACATCCAAGAGTCTTAAGGATTTTTAACACACAGCAATACTTCGTGTTTCTCCAGTAGCAGGGAGTGGCTAGGACCCCTTAGATGTTAACATACATTTTGTTCCAGTTTCATGGGATTTGCCATTGCTGCCTTACCTCCTTCTTGGAGGGCTGTTATGAGATTTAAGTGAAGTCCTAGGGTTACAATGCTGTCCTGTAAGGCACTGTCCTGGTGACAGGGGCTACTGTTATTATCTGATGACTTTTTTTTTTTTGAGATGGAGTCTCACTCTATCACCAGGCTGGAGCGCAATGGCGTGGTCTCAGCGCACTGCAACCCCTGCCTCCCAGGTTCAAGTGATTCTCCTGCCTCAGCCTCCTGAGTAGCTGGGATTATAGGTGCATGCCACCATGCCCAGCTAATTTTTGTATTTTTAGTAGAGACAGGGTTTCACCATGTTGGTCAGGCTGGTCTTGAACTCCTGACCTTGTGATCCACCCGCCTCAGACTCCCAAAGTGCTGGGATTAGAGGCGTAAGCCACTGTGCCTGGCCTTTTTTTTTAGACAGGGTCTTACTCTGTCACCCAGGCTGGAGTACAGTAGTGCAATCATGGCTCACTGCAGCCTCAACCTGCTGGGCTCAAGTGATCCCCCCACCTCAGCCTCCCAAGTAGCTGGTACTACAGGCACACACCACCACACCCAGCTAATATATTTTTTTAATAGAGATGGGATCTCACTATGTTGTGGTCTCACTATGTTGTCCAGGTAAATCTTGAACTCCTGGCCTCAAGCTATCCTCCTGCTTCAGCCTCCCAAAGCACTGGGATGACAGGCCTAAGCCTCCAAGCCCAGCCTTTGATGTCATCTCTTATTCCTCAAAGATTCTGCACAATTTGTGGTTTTCTTAGATCTCCACAACAACACTGTGCAGAGTGTGTGATGCTTTGCTCTATGGCAGAGATGTTTAAAATAATGAAATATTACCACCCAGTGTGGGCTAGGCTGTGGAGAAGTATTTAACAGACACCTTCATTTACAACGGGTGGCAGTGTAATCTGTGAGACAAGATGATGCCTACGTCATTTCACAGGTGAGGAGACAGAGGTTCAGAGAGTCCAAGAGGCTTGCTAAGGTCACACAGGTGGTAACACTGGGATTTGAACCCAGGCCTGGGCTGGTGCCTGCTGTCTGCTGTGTGGGTTCTGAGTGACCTTTCCCACTTGCCTGCAGAGGAGTTGGACAAGCTGATCTCTGACCGGCCTGAAAGCTGCCGACGCCCAGGCAAAGCGGGGGAACCAGAGGCTCCCGTGCTGACCCACGCCACCACGGTGGCCATGGCGCATGGCTGCCTGGCTGTCTCGCAGCTCCCACCCCAGCCACTGATGACCCTGTCCCTGCAGTCAGTTCCCCTGCACCACCAGGTCCAGCCCCAGGCACATCTTGCTCCAGACTCTCCAGCACCGGCCCAGACCCCGCCCCTGCACGCCCTGCCGGACCTGAGCCCCAGCCCACTCCCCAACCCTGCCATGGGAAGGGCTCCTGTGGACTTCATCAACATCAGCACTGACATGAACACCGAGGTGGACGCCCTCGACCCCAGCATCATGGACTTCGCTCTGCAGGGTGAGGCCAGAGGAACGGTGATGGAATGGAATTGGGGAGGGGAGAGGCCTGGGGGCCAAAGGGAGTGAGCGAGGACTGTACTGCCTGCATTTGCCCCACGGTCTCGTTCCCATAGCAACCACCTTTGCAAGTTGAGCGTCCCTGATCCAGAAATCTGAAGTGCTCCAATATCCGAAAATTGTTGAGCCCCAACAAGACACTCAAAGGTCATGCTCGTTGGGGCAGTTCAGATTTCAGATGTTTGGCTGGACTAGGGTTGTTCGACGTGTGCTAGCCAATGACAGCCAGCAGGGAATGAGCGCTTGCTGTGTACCAGAAACCAGGCCAAAGCATTTCATAGACATCACCTGAGGTCACCACCATTCCACATCCCTGTTCTGCTGATGAGGAAACTGAGGCAGAGAGAAGTGAAGTCACTCACCCAAGGTCACCAAGCTATTAAGTGACAGAGCCTGGAGTTAAACCTCAGTCTGTCTGATCCCAAAGTTTTAATCGATAACTGCTTCATCTCACGTGCCAACCGCATGCCAGGCACACTGACCCACTGCAGGCTGCATGATCCTCCCCAATAATTGGGATGTGATGAATGAACAAGGGAATTTCAGGTTTCAGCCAAGGCTCATACTTCATCCATTCACTAGCACAGGTGCAGCTCCCATGTTCCAGCCAAGGGTGGAGACAGCCTCTGCCCTCAGGAGTTCTGTCTCTAGTGAGGGAAATGAACAAGGTAGCAAGGCAGTTGCAGCTGTGAAATGGGTAGATTTGCACCTTCCTGCCTCCCTCTCCCTGGACTGTTGTATAGTTCAATGTGCTGAAGAAAGGGAAACGTCTTGTCCCCCTGGCTTTGACAGTAATGATACCGTAAGAACTAAATGCTTTTGACAAGTCCTGTCGTTTAACCCTTGCCACAGCCTGAGGAGCTGGGTTCACTGATCATCTCCATCTTATTCTGAGGTTCTGAGATGGAAGTGACTTTCCCAAGGACACTCAGTGGGAAGATGAAGGTCCAGGGCTGCGACTCTGGCTTTTCCATGCGTTTGTTTTTGTTCTTTTTTGAGATGGAGTCTCGCTCTGTCACCAGGCTGGAGGGCAGTGACGCAATCTTGGCTCACTCCAGGGTTCAAGTGATTCTTCTGCCTCAGCCTCTCAAGTAGCTGGGATTATAGGTGTGCACTTACCAGGCCAGGCTAATTTTTGTATTTTTAGTAGAGACGGGGTTTCACCATGTTGGCCAGGCTAGCATCGAATCAAACTCCTGGCCTCAAGTGACCCACCCACGCTGGCCTCTGCTGGGATTACAGGTGTGAGCCACCGTGCCCAGCCCCATCCCCCTTTTCTATAACACGTGACACCACACATGGTCTCTGTGTCTTCCCTAAGATGGGGGATTCCAACTCAGTCGTTTTATGTGAAGCTAGCTCACCCTAATGCTTTTGTCTTTGAAAGGGAACCTGTGGGAGGAGATGAAGGACGAGGGATTCAGCCTGGACACACTGAGCACCTTCGGAGACTCCCCGCTTGGCTGTGATCTGGGGGCCTCAGGCCTGACTCCTGCCTCAGGTGGCAGCGACCAGTCCTTCCCAGACTTGCAGGTGACAGGTCTCTATGCAGCCTACTCCACTCCGGACAGTGCGGCTGCGTCAGGCACCAGCTCCTCCTCCCAGTACCTGGGTACACAGGGGAACAAGCCCATAGCCCTGCTTTGAGCTCACGGCCTCGCCTGCCCCAGAACCCCAGCACCCAGCTGGGGCAGAGAACTGACAGGGTGTTCCCTGGAGCCTCTCCTGGGGCTAGGTTGCCAGCTGGACAGGGAAGCGGTTCCCCTCCACGACCCTCCTCCTCCTCCTGCCTCCCACTGGAGCTTCTGGGGCTCTTCCAAGTCAGAAGAACAGAGGAAGACGAACAAGCAACCCAGCATCCGCCCTCCCCTTGCCATTTCTCCGAGGCCTGAGCTGCAAGGCCTGACCGTATTGTGAGACTTGTCCATCCTGGTTCCTGGCTGGGTGACCTCCATGACCTGTACCCCATTTCAGGACACCTTTCGGGGTGAAAGCCCTTGAACTCATCCTTTTGGGAAACAGCTGAGCGGATGAAACCTCAGCCGCAACCTCCAGGGGACAGGTCCAGGGTGGGGAGTGGTGCCGGAGAACCTGAGCTCTGAAACGGGAGGCTGCCCAGGTGGCCTCCAGCCCCACCTTTCCAATAGTCTGTTAGAATTTTATTAGAGCAGATTCCTGGGCCATGCCGGGCACCGTGACCGTGTGTAAATTTATTTATATTTATTGTGGCCTATCCACCCCACATCTGCAAACCCAACCCGAGGCCCCTGGAATGAGATTCCTCTGTCTGTCCCTTCCTCCCAGCCATCCTAACTCCTACAGGCCAGCGAATGACATCTCTAACTGGCTGGCCATCCCTTGGCAGCCTGGGCTCCTTTTCAGAACCAGCAAGCACTGTTGATACTGTGAAATACCCTATTTTTTCCACATTAGAGACCAGATATTTTTCTAACTGTTCATGATTCACATCTCTTCCTGCATGTACCTGAGACAGGTGGTGCCATCGTTTGGGGGTTTGGGGGGCTTTCAAAGGGCAAAATGCGATGGTGGAGAGAGGAACGGGAGGGCAGGTGCTTTTGTACTGGGATTTAAGGCACTCCTGATGGAATGAAAGCAAACTGAACCATGGAAAGCTCGAACCACGTGGCGAATGGAGGCAGACAGCACTGCCGTGCATATTTATTGGCACTTCCTCACCTCCCTTTGCCCTGCAGCTGCTCTTATGTTTTTCTCTCCTTGCTAATTACTGAGTTTCCAAGTAGCAAGTTCTGCAGATAGCTGGGTTAGAGGGGAGACAGGTGAGTGAGCTGGACAAAGAGAAGGTGAAAAATGCTCTCCCAGCAAAGTTGAGACCGAACACTGGGGAAGCTGCAACCTCACACACCATCCCCCTCTTTCCATGAGATGGATGTAGACTCCGTGTCTGGAGTTCCTGAACCCTAGAGCCAGGATGCTGTTTAATCAGCAGCTCAGCCAGCTGCCTGGGAGGTTTTTGGCATTAAGCGCTGCCTTGAAGGGTGAGCTTTAAGTCCTTCCCAGTTCTGGAACTTTCCACCGAGCATCCACCACCCTTAGACACACTCCCAGTGCTACCTGTCCGACCCGCACTGCCCATCTGCCTTGTGTGACGTGACCCCCGATGAGATGTTGAAATGGTTGTTCATGAAGACTCCGCGTTCGGGCAACAGCAAGACTGTAAGTGTAGAATTGAGTAACTGTCTTCTGTCAATAAAGGCTGAATGGCGGCTCTGTGGCTCATGAGGAGGTGAAAGGGAGATCAAGGATAATGACACCACTCACTTGTCCCTTACAGGTGAGGTACCATTTACAGATGGGGAAATTGAGGCCTAGAAAGGTGACACCACTCAACACCAGCCCCAGGTGCTCTGACACCAAGTTCCCATCGCACCACACACTGGGGGCAGTTTGTCATGATGGTTACAAGGAGCACAGCCTTCATACTGTCCCTCAGAACCTGGCGCTGGACAGGCATCATTTCAGGCAGGGATCATGAATGCCATTGACCACTCAGAAAGCAGAGGCTTGGAGAGGTAGGGTGGGCTGAGTGTGTGTCCCAGAGCTCAGCGGCACAGCTCAGGTGTATAACTCATGTCAGAAAAGAGAAGATGGAAGGAGACACACCCCTTCCAGCACCTGCTATATGCCAGGGCCTGTGCTAGTCACTGCTGTCCATTAGCTCATTCCATCCTCACAACAGCCCTAGGAAGCATGTCTGATTTGATATTACACCCATTTCACAGATGAAGAAACTGAGGCTCAGGGAATAAAGCGGGTGACTTGCTGCCCAAAATAACAGGCAAAGTACATATTAATTAGGAGTATAACTCTTTAAGTACACCCAGGAAGTGGCCTGCAGCCTCAGGGGAGACCAGATTCATGCACATGCAATGTTTTGTGAGCAAGGAAGCATGTCTGGGAGGATGGGCTGTGGGTGGTATCAGGAAGTGCTTGGTGGAGGCCAGGCACGGGGTAGGGAGAAGGTGCCTGCAGCGGCCCTGGCTTTCTCTGCCCAGCACTTGTACCACTGTCTCCTTGGCTTGGCTTCTGAAAGATCCTGTGAACCCAGCCCAGCCAAAAAAACATCAGAGCCTGCAGCCATTCCCTGAGATTGGCTGAAGTGGGGAGTGAGGGACCTAGGCCGTGTTGTTCACAGCCAGTGAGCATCCCCCAGGGACTGTGCAGGAGCTAGGAGGCACCCTCCATCTCCTGGGGTGCTCAGCTGGGAGAATGGAGCCCGAGCCACTGTGTCACCACAAGGAAAGGGCTGGAAGCCCACGATTGAGTCTGACTTCTGTTCCTTACCATGGCCAAGTGGGAGCCAGGCATAGAGAGCCCAGGCAAAAACGCCAAGGTCACAGCCAGAGTGCCACCTGTGCAGGGGCCACAATGTCGCCAGAAGAAAGCATGCAGGAGACATGGGGGGAATGAGGCTTCTTCTGGGGCTGAGCAGCTCATGGGAGAAAAACACAAACTGCTGTCATGTAAGCAACTGCCGCGGGCTGCATGGAGTTCAGCACTGGTCAGGCAACATCTCCCGGAACCCACCACAGCCCGCACGACCAGTGGGATGTTCCCATTTCCCAGATGAGGAAACTGAGGCTCAGAGACCATGTTTCTAAAGTTTTCTTCCCCTTCTATAAGAAATCACCCACATTCTAACAACAAAAATAGTAACAGCATTCACTGGCATGTATAGGGGGCTTATTCCCTGCAGTGTATAACACCAGAGCACAATCGATCTTAATTTTCCTCCTGGGTCCTAATCCCTGGAACCTATGAATACATTATGTTACCAGGCAAGTGGGAATAAAAGATGCAGATGGAATTATGGTTACTAATCGGCTGCCTTAAAATAGGGGGGATTGCCGGGTGTGGATCACACCTGTAATCCCATCAATTTGGGAGGCCGAGGCAGGTGGACTGCTTGAGCCCAGGAGTTTGAGACCAGCCTAGGCAACATACTAAGACTCCATCTCTACAAAAACCATTTGCCAAGCATGGTGGTGCATGCCTGTAGTCTTAGCTGCTCAGGAAGCTGAAGCAGGAGAATCACTTGAGTCCAGGAGATCGAGGCTACAGTGAGCTATGATTGCACCAGGCTGGGTGACAGAGCAAGACACTGTCTCCCCCCAAAAAAAGGTGGAAGATCACCCCAGATTATCAAGGTAGGCCTAAGGGAGTCGTAAGACCTACAGGTAAAGGAGGGGGGCAGGAGAGTCAGTGTCAGGTTTAAAGATGCTATGAAGATGGAATGGGGCCTCTAGAAGCTGGAAAAGGCAAGAGAACGGATTCTCTCCCCTAGAGCCTCCAGAAGAGCCGCAGCCCTGCTGACACTCATTTTAGCCCAGGGAGGCCCCCGTTGGGCTTCTGACCTCCAGACCTGTAGGAGGATAAATTCATGTTGTTTTAAGCCACTAAGTTTGTGGGGATTGTTACAACAGCCATAGACAATAAATATATCCCCATTTTACAGACGAGGAAACTGAGGCTCTGAGAGGCTAGGTAGCTTAGGCATGATTAATAAGGGGTAGAGATGGGATTCAAATGACACTGTGCTTCCCCACGGTCTTTTATCACGTCTCAGAGGGCTCAGCTGACACCCTGTGTTTGCCGGTTTAGATAGAAGCAAAAACTCTCCAAGGCTACGTGACTGGGAATTAACCCCAGGTCTACAGGTCTTCCGCCCCTCCATGGCGCTGTCATGGCTTAGCGTAGGCTCCTAAAGGGCATTCAGTGTAAGTTCAGGGAAAGTAATAAGAAGATCCGATCAAAAGTAGGAGACGAAGTGGTGGAGCTGAGCATCGCCTCCTTTGGAGGATGCCAGTTGTGTTGACTGTTTCTCCTATGGGTATAGACGCTGGACCTTTGATCTCCAAAACCAAAACCCTCAAGAGTCCAGGGGAAGCAGGACAGAGATCTAGCTGGCAGCCGAAATGTGGAGAAATCCAACAGCAGCCAAAGAGCCAGGCCGGGCCATCCCCAAGGGGTTCCCAGTCCATAAGAACCTGTCCAGAATCTTCCACAACCACTCACAGCTTGCCACAGGACAGAAGCAAACACTCCCACGAAAGGGAGGACAACCGGGCTAATCTCTAGGACCCACATCATCTGACCCCTAAGGCTGCCTGGGCTTCCTCCTATGGGGTTAGTGCCCCCAACAGGTGGAGCATCTGATTTTTCTCCAGTGTGGTGCTTACCACCTTCCATCATTGACTAGCGTCTCTGGTAACTACAGAAATGTGGTCAAACTTGCTGGTTATCAGCATCTCCTGGGGACTTTTAAGATCTGGATCTCAGCCTGGGCAACATAGCAAGATCCCATCTTGGCCAGGTGCGGTGGCTCATTCCTGTAATCCCAGCACTTTGGGAGGCCAAGGCAGGAGGTTAGCTTGAGCCCAGGAGTTGGAGACCACCCTGGGAGGCATAGTGAGACCTCCATCTCTACAAATAATAAACTAGAAAATTAGGGCCAGGTGCAGTGGCTCACGCCTGTAATTCCAGCACTTTGGGAGGCCGAGGCAGGCGGATCACAAGGTCAGAAGATTGAGACCAGCCTGGCCAACATGGTGAAACGCCGTCTCTGCTAAAAATACAAAAAATTAGCTGGGCGTAGTGGCACATGTCTGTAGTCCCAGGTACTCAGGAGGCTGAGGCAGGAGAAACACTTAAACCCAGGAGGCAGAGGTTGCAGTGAGCCAAGATCGCACCACTGCACTCCAGCCTGGGAGACATAATGAGACTCCATCTTCAAAAAAAAAAGAAAGAAAAAGAAAAAATTAGGTAGT